GCCCTAAAAACATCTGTCTCTTATACCCATCTGGATGTGTATAAGAGACAGGTATTGTAATCACACGTAATCCAGACCGTTTATACTACACACATCAGAGAAGCCGTGTTCGTCAATCCGTGTTCAGAGGTAATATAAACGGGCCCATAGAGATGAACTACGCCTTGATGTTGAGTAAAAGAAAAATACTTTTTTTTATGTTTACTCTATTTGTGTCTGCCTGACATTGTGATTTATTCAGAAATAGAAAAAAAATATTGTTGCTATGTTTAAAGTCAGGCTCTGGAGGGAAACAAATTTTATTGATATGTTGCACAACTAATGTTTTCTAAGACACAAAAAGCATATTTGACAAAAAGCGGTTAGTGAGATACAGATTTTTGAATATTTGAAAACTGGGGGGAAAAAAGATGAACAAAATGGGTGGTTACACCCATTCCCCTTTCCTAGATTTTAAATCATTCAAAAATATAACTATAAAAAAATTTTAAAAAACTACGCAACTATATGACTTTTCTATATTACCTTCCATCACTGGCAAGCTCTGGAGGCTGAGCCCCATTCCCTAAGGATTCTGGATGTTGAGATCCGGGAAGACGGTCCTGAGGCACCTCAAACTCTGGCATCTCCTCCTTTATACAGAGAAGGCGCTCATAGATTGGTGGATACACTCGGCCATTCTTCATGTAACACTAAAAGGAATTAAGTAAGTACTTTTTCAACAACTTCACTCAAATATGCAGTTGTGCAACAGCTGAAACAATTAATCCCTGTCCTCAAAACAAGTGTGGCAAAGTACCTGTGATTTGCCCATATATGGACAGGATATGACATCATTTTGACCATATATGGGGAATTCACACAAATTTGTCACATAAAATTTGATAGTGTAGACAGAGCTTTAAGCTGTATCACATTACACACAAATATGGGCATATTACCTTTATTTGTCACATAAAATTTTATAGTGTGGACATAGGTTAAGAGTAATATTTAAGCTCTGTCCACACTAACATGTGTGACAAATACCTGTGTTTTGCCCATATATGGACAGGATATGACATCATCATGCCCATATATGGGAAATTCACACAAATTTGTCACATAAAATTTGATAGCATAGACAGAGCTTTAAGCTGTATCATATTACACACAAATATGGGCATATTACCTTTATTTGTCACATAAAATTTTATAGTGTGGACATACCTTTATTTAAGTGTGACAAATACTTGTGTTTTGCCCATATATGTGTATGATATGACTTCATTGCCCATATATGGGAAATTTACACAGATTTATTACATACGATGTGATGGTGTGGATACATCTTAAGAGTAATATTTAAACACTGGTTCAGCAACATGTCACAAACACAACTGGTGTCTGTGGCATTACTCACATTTAATAGTCAAACTAATGGAAGTAATCAATCATACGATGGTGGTGCAACTGTGTTTCATTTTACAGACTGAGCAAAACCCTTCAGATTGCATTATCACAACCATGGGGTTGCATTAACATAACCCTAAAATTGTATTAGCACAAACTCTAGGATTAAATTATCACAACCCTGGGGCTGCATTATCACAAACCTGGGATCGCAATAAAACAGACCTGGGATTACAAGGTAATCCTTTGGTTATCACTGACCTTGACAACAGTTACATATATTGGCCATCCCTCGTGGTCTCTTATTAGTCGAGGAATCTGAAAATGTAATTAACAGAATAAACAAAACAAAACATATCAAAGAGGAATGATAATAGAATGTTGTGGTGATCATAATTTATACCGTAAAAAACATTCTTCTGAAAATATACCAGAGATTTTAAGAACGCATAGTCATATTCAGCATTTAATAAGCCTATTAATCATATTTCAATGTGTTTGCATCAGGCAAATATCATAGCAGTGATATTTTGCTCTACCTGATGTGTTATTGTACTGAATACTCAGTACGTTGGCAAATGCTGAAGGGTCCACTCATTAATCTTAGATAACAAAGTATAGCACATACTTCTAGTACTGAAATGCACACCATCGTGTTGGGATTCAATATTTCGACAATAATTATGTCATCATCAGGAATGAATAATTAATTTCGAAATACTGGATCCCAACACGATGGTGTAGATTTCAATACCTGGAGTATGTATTATACATTCCCAAATACTTGTGAACAAAATTTGCAAGTGATTCATTAATCCATTAGTCATGGTGTAAGATTATGTAATAAATAGAGCATGAGAATTATAAGTATGTTTACTGTTAATAAATAATGATGATGACTATCCTCATTGTGATGATGAAAATGATGATTATGTTCATAGTGATCATGAAGATAAAGATGATTATGATTATTGTTTGCTATAATTTTTGTATTTGCATGATACAAACATGATAGAACATTTTGATGTAACGTAATCTGAACATAGAGATTAGTGTATTTAAATAATGTTTACCCATCATTTTACAGCAAAATGGTAGAAACACTTTCTGTCACAGGAAATGTTTTATTATATTTATTATAAATATCCAGTTTAAAAATCAGGGTACACATTTTCTAAATTCAATAATTTCTATGCTCAAGTTAATAATTTGTGTAACTAAAAAATTTGCAAGTTAATTCCAAAATTACTTTTTATGGTTTATTTGTCATTTTCAAGGGACTATACATCTTTACCATGCCTGCATATTCACAGTTACAGAAGAGTGGGAAATATATAAACTTTGTGGCAATCGACACCATATACTTTCTTCTGTCTGTTCTCTTTAATGCTCTCTACTATCCAACTTTGAAGAGCCCCACACACTCACATCTGGGGGTTGAAGCTAACCGATCAATACCAGAATTCTCACGCCACGAAATTATGATGATGAAGATTATGATCATCATGACCACAATAATAATGATAATGATGATATTGGTAACAATGAATATGATGATAATGGTCATTTTGATGATGGTGATGATAATAATTTAATATTATACTCATGAACTGGAATTAAATATTTCATTGATGCCCATAAATGGAGATTTAATATTTCATTTCAATTCAATTCAATTTCTGCCCAAAATTTTGTCAGCTGTGCTGCATGTATAATTTAAATTAGGCATAAACGTAGACATGCATTTCAGTGACTATAAAACACACATTACCCAAGGTAAATCATTAGGTCATTCAGGCAATGGTATAAACATTGTACCAAATTAAAAAACTCAAATACTATATACATAATATGTGGCAAAGACAAGCCAAACCAGTCACTCGTCGCAAATATCAATTTTCAGTTATTAATACAGAGTTAAACAGTAAAATGAGAGCTATAAAATGGTAAAAGAATCATTTAAATCCGACATTTCATTATAAAGTTACAGGAGTTTAAATATACAGCTGTTTAGAACAACGTTGATTTTGGGCATTTCTCAGGCATAAACCATCATCAAATCGTTAAAAATTGTTGTTTTAACATTAAAAATGGGGAAAATAGGATAGGATAGCATGATGTATAGATATATAAAGGTTAGTAATAGTGCAATACAATTGATTTTAAAAAAAATTGACATTCCAGCATGTTTTGGCCATTATCTTTGAAACAAACTTTGCGATGAGTGACTGGTTTGGCTTGTCTTTGCCACATATAATACAGTACTTTTGATCGTAGCAATTTTTTAATTGTATTTTTTTTATTAGTTTTATCACCATATACCTTTCCTTTTGAAGCACCATGAAGGTTCTCACCAAACAGTTCATCAAAAACATCACCAACTTCAATTTTATTCTAAAAAAAGGAACATATAAAAACATATTTAATGTGTTCATGTTGTCTGTGATTAGATAATAAGACCAATGATAAGTAGAAGTGGTTGGTGCATCAGTTGTGGCTTGGACTCGCAACCTTGAGGTTCGGGGGTTTCGAAACTCTCTGTGCAAGTTGCTTGTGTCCTTGGGTAAGGCACTTTACAGTTGTCTCTCTCCACCCAGGAGTGCAAGTGGGTACCTGGTAGGTTCAAGCACAGCCTGCGCTGAATACAGCTGCAACATTATGGAATTCCCCCATGGGGCTTGAGTGTGTGTTCCATATGTGCTTGATCCAGTGATCCGGGGGTAATAATGTAAGCGCATAGAGGTTTCTACAATATGCGCTATAGTCGACAATTATTATTATCTAGTAAATTGGTTCTAATTGACTATAGAACATTTGGAATGGGTCCCTGGGAACCAAAGTCACCTCCAGCCCTCCACCTCCAATGGACGGATTCGGCGATGTTTGTTTAGATGTGACATAATTTGGGTGTACATGAAAAACATTATAGTTTAATTTTTAATCAATTTGGTATAGTTTACTGGGAATTATGATGATTTTTACAGCAATAACAAGGGACGGCCGCAATAGCAATCTCCATGTAAAACACAATGCTCTGCCAGTCAGTTATATCCAACACCCAAGTTAGGGTCACATGACACCCATCACCAAATCCCTCTATTTCAATGCTCCTAGAATAGCCACTATATATTAAAGATCTATATAAGAGCAGGCCCACTACCAGCAGGTAGACGGAGCACTCCTCCACCACCCTCCCTAGAAATTACAAATTAAAATTGTTCCGATTTCTTACATTCTCCTCAGCGACGCTTCCTGGCTCTACTTCAGCGACAACTGCTTTGCCATTGATGTGTTTAATAAACACGCCAAGATCTTTGCAAGGTACCAATTCAAACTGTTTCATTACCGCCATCATCCAAGTTTCATCAAGGAAGCTGGCATTCTGATGAAACAATGTTAATGAAAAAAGTATATTTAAGGAGCAGAATACTGACTGTAAGGCCCTGTCCAGACTATCAAATTATATTTGAAAAAAACATGTGACATGCCTATGGTCGACCATATATAGGCATATTGTAACTATATATGGGCATTCAACAATTTTTTGTCAAAGAAAATGTTACAATCTGGGCAGAGCTTAAAGGTCTGTCCACACAAATTAGTGTGATATGATGATGATGTCATATTACACCCTAATATGGCATATCAACCTTGTTAAAAGTTTAGTAAAATTGATACGCAGACAGCGAAAATAAGCACAATGCTACAGAGAAAAAAACATAAGCTGCTTCCTTTGGGATTGCACGCAGATCCTTTGCACAGTTGTTTATCAGTTTATTTATGAACGAATTTGTTCAATTTACCTTTACATTTAAATCAAACTTGATTTCTGTTATAAGGAATAGGAGAGACATCAATGATTCTGTGGAATTAAGGAAAATTTAGTTTGGTATTAAGTGTCGTTTAACATCAAGTGGTGGCATAAGCCATCTATATTTTTCTTTAAAGCGGTATCAGTAAACATATTTAATAGCTAACGTATATTCCTGTGTATAAGACGAGACTTAAAATAGCAAATTATAATAGAAAACAGGAGTTTTCTCAAAGGGTCTCGAGTTTGAATTGCCAAGGAATAAATATGACTTACCGAGCGGTAAGGCAGGGGCGTCGCTAGCTACAGCCTTAACATCGGCGCTGGTTCCCACCACTCCTCGCTAATGGTTCGGTTGGTAAAAATAAGTCTTCTCTGTTACGGACTTAAAATGGAGGTCCAGTGTATACATCTGGCTCATGTGCACTTTAAAGAACCCATTGCATCTTTCGGAAGAGTAGGGGTTACCTCGATGCTATGGTTCATTTTAGCCTTTGTCGTTGTGGAATGATGCCAACATGTAGCTACCATGAAGCGCCTCTTTACGGCTGCTAGGTAGTCACTGACCACGCCCATACGCAATTCAGCACAATGAAGCTGCAATGGGTTATTCTCCTACCTTTACCTTTATGTTTTTCATATAATATTTTTTTACTTACAGAGGATTTATTAGAATTGAATATTATTTTTAGTAGATTTCATATTGTAATAATAATAATAATAATAATAATAATAATAATAATAATAATAATAGTAGGACTAGATGTTACACTTTTCAATAACTTTCTCCTCCCCTGAGGGTGACTTCATGTCCTCAGCAGCCGGTAAACCAGCACACTTTTATCTGTCCACCACAGGGGCCGAGTGGACCAATACACAGGGGTAACACCCTACTCGCCTCGAAAGATGTACTGGTTTCTTTAAAGTGTACATGAGCATTTGTGTACAAAGTCCTTATCCGAGACGGCTTGTTCCACCACCAGAGGAGCGAGACGGCCATGAATCCATGCCGATATTGTTGGCTATAAGTTACAATGCCCCTGCCTTAATCGATCGGCCATTTGACTCGCTCAAATTAATAATGCCATAGAGGGCTCTAGTCTGAGTGAAAAATGCCTATTTACTTGACAATTGCAAATTTGTTACAGATGGCATTTATATTATATATTATTTTCTTACCTATATAGACTTCATTGCCAATGATTGACAGCTCCGGTTTATACCAGTATTCTGTCAATTTTGGATTCATAACAAGATGTTCCAAAGCAACACTCAATATCTTCTTGGTTAGTGCAATTCGAATGAAAAGGCGGCCCCTACCCTGGTGGGTTCGCACCTAGAAGTAAAGACACAAAAACATTAAAATGTATGCATAATAATAAGTAATCATATAGTGTGTGTCAACACTATTTTGATAGTGACTTAAAAGCACACTAGAAAGGTTGTTGTGATAACGATGTAAGAGAATTGTCTTCCAACCAAATGTCAGGTCCACTTGCTGTTTTGTTACAGAATTTTTTCTCCAATGACAAAAAAAAATCACTTTTATAAAGCTGGTTTCATTCGAGTGAATCGAAAGCATCGGTTCATGCACATGCGCATTTAAATTCCTATCAGATTTTTTGCGAAGTGAAAAAATTCGCAACAAATCAGAGCTCAGGAAGCGAACCAATCCTTTAATTCGCGCGAATAAATTCACCTAGTAAAAAACAGGCTTAAGATTCACAATGAAACTTTATGAAAAGTATCTTATGCCTAGAGTAATTCATCTGGTGATTTTTAATATTTATACTGTTGAATGAAATGAAATAAGAAGTAAGCGGCAAGAATTACATTTAATATATGTGTATTCAAAATCATACTAACGCTGATATTTTTTTTTTTTTTATTGTATTCCTTTAGGCACATGGCCAAGGATTAACAATTAGTGACATATTGTAATCCCTTCATATGACACACACATGACTCTATATAAACTAAGTCTTTCATAACAAGGCTTATGCAGTGGAGTTGTTTTGTTGCGAGAAAAAAATCCTGGAACCATAAACGATTTGAACCCAGGAACCTGGGATTGGAAGGCTAGCATCTTAACCACTAAGCTACTATATTCAACCCCACTCATACTTTATAAGGATTGACAAGACTAAAATAAACTTTACAGACGACTCCAAAACTCATTGTTACTGATAGTGTACAAACATGACATGTTGTTCATCATTAAAACCAAACTATACAGGAGAAATTTCTGCATAAATAAATATTATCCGTAAGGCGGGACTTTTTTATACCTTGTTTAGCCAACCTGCCACCTGATAATAATGATGAAAGATCGTCAAAGGAGGGCGGAAAAAAAATACAAACAAAATTCGTATTTTTTATTTTTTAGCAAACAGTTTTGAAAAAAAATAATCCAGAAAATAAATTGAAAATTTTATTGGTGAATGTTAACAGTGGAGTAATGGAATGGTTAAATGCTTTAAGTTTATATAATTAGGAAGAAATATACATCATAACATCAAAATTTAAAAAAAAAACTTTTATTTTCTTCTAAATTTTTTTTTCATGGCAGCGGGTGCGCTAATTGCCAAAAATTAAATTTTATTTTTATTCCAAGTTAACAAAGTATAAAAGAGTCTTGCCTAAGAAAGAATACATGGAAAAGAAAACCATGGAGATAAATTGTTAAACATGGCCATCCATAGAACACAGGAACCATTCTTACCTTCTGTGATGTTCTGCATTCTTCTAAGGCAATTGAAAACAATGGATTTAATCTGAAAGAAGAGAATTGCAAATGGTATATGATATAACAATAAATTTAATGGGCAATTCCATAAATTCGGACGTACATTTCAGACACTTTGTGAATCTATATTTTCATAATGAAGCTTGCAATTTATTTTTTTTTAAGTTTGCATTACATCTATTGGTTAGTACTATCAAGCCTACAATTTTTATTTTTTAACTCGTATGCGTTACAAAGATACGGGTCAAAATGACCCCGTGACGGACGTAATCAGAGAAAGTGACTTTTCCTACGTCACTATACTTTTTTTTTAAACTCTGTGATGTGTGGGACATTTAAAAAAAAATATTTCCCTGTTGTGTTCCACTAATGTGTGGACTTTCTAGCAGAATAAAAATTGAATTTAATTTTTTTCATTTTCTCTATGAAAACACCATAAAATTACTGTGACGGACGTACAATTTTATCGTGACGGACGTACTTGTCTGAATTGTGACGGACGTACACATCTAAAAATACTAAAAAATCTACAATCTAAATTATTTTATTGATTAATTAATATACTGGTATGCTTATATGATATAAAAGTACCAAAATATACTGGATTTTAAACTTTTTTTTTTTAATAATGAATGTAAAATACAATGAATTAAATCATTTTGGTAATTTTGTGTCAAATAATCCTCAGTTGACCTCAATACCCTAGTAGTCAGACCATGTTTTTTATGCATTTGAGGTAAAGAGAATATTGACTTCATAAATTGGTTCAGGGTGGCCCTAGAATCATTTTGGCTTGGAAACACGTTTTTTTAAATGTGGCAAAATGTCAAAGTTCAGGGTCAAAAGTCATAGTAATAGGGCCCTTATATCTTCGCAACCACATGTGGTAGAGAGTTAAGTTTGGTGCCAAGTTGTTCAAAACATTTATATTACTATTTGCCATAATAGAATATTTTGTTAAAAAATGACCGGACATGCCATTTCTGACCTTTGACTCATCTCCGGGTCATATTCACAGGTTCTCATATTTCCGTAACCACTGGTGGTAGGGAGTTAATTGTGGTGTCAATTTGTTCAGAACATTCATGTAAATTGATTATGAAGGAGTTGGATCTAAATTTGTAACCAGGAAAAATGATTATTTGGTTCCCAAAATGCACTTTGTTATTATTAATTAATGCAGACAGTTAAACTAGTGAAAGAATATGTGCATACTGTACTGTACTAGATCTATTAAGGCAAGTCCTAGCTTTTGGCGTCAACTTCTTCATTGTATATAAATAATCCTGCAGTGGGCAAGTTTAGATTTTAAAGGTTCTGGAATTAGA